CTTTTTCCACCAAATACCAGTTCCACAATGCACACACATACAGAATAGCAAAGAAACCCATTTGTCCAAATCCTAGAAAAACAGAAATCAGAGAAAGTATAAGTGTGTGTGTATGTGTGTGTGTGTGTGTGTGTGTGTGTGTGTGTGTGTGTATATATATATATATGTATGTATGTATGTATGTATGTATGTATGTATGTAGAGTGACATATATCTCCCCCACTGAGGGAGAGATAACTCAGCTCAGGGTAACTAAGTATCACAGTTGATGGAGTGTTGGACCTGAAGTTAGGAAGTCTCAACTTCCTGAGTTCAAATCTAGCCTCAGACACTGTCTGTGTGATCCAGGACAAGTCACTTAACCCTGTTTGCCTCAGTGCCTCATCTGTAAAATGAGCTGGGAAAGGAAATGGCAAACCACTTCAGTATCTTTGCCAAGAAAAACCCAAATGGGGTCATGAAGAATTGGGCACAACTGAAACAACTGAACAACAACTCAGCTCAACAGTGAGAGAGAGAGAGGGAGAAAGAGAGTGTCCCAGCTCTCACCCAAGAGGAAACTCCCTGAGGTCTCTAGAGTAGCAAACTGGATATAAGGACATGATGGAGATTGCCAGTGCCTCTCATGTTTTCCTGGAGTCCTTTTATTCAGCATCCTGAAGTCAAATTGACTTCTGTCTTCTCTCTTGAAGCTGGAAGACAGAAGCTCGAGAAGTGACTTAATGCTTGATAAGTCCCCAAAAGAGACTTATCCTGAAGAGTCTCAAGAGGGACAAAATGAGAACTGAAGCGTTCTTACCTTTCAACAACTCTCTCCAGACCCTTTCACAGGGCAAGGCATTAATATCCATCAGTAAAAAGAGAGTCCCATACCAATGGTTTTGGGATAGAGTCTTTCTCCCACATGTTTTCCCTGACCTAGTGCTTTCCTTCTGAAATTATCTCTAATTTACCCTGTGTATATCTTGTATGTACACATAATTGTTCACATGCTGTTTCCTGTATTAAAATGTGAACTCCTTAAGGGCAAAGAATATGTTTGATTTACTTTATATCCCTAGAACTTAGCACACAGAAAATACCTAATAAAATTCCTAATAAAAATAATATCTAGGTGCCCAACACACAGAAAATATCTAATAAAATGTTTGTTGACTTAAGAGATCACTGGTGACTTTGGAGAGGGCAATTTCATTTGAGTGCTGAGGTTGGAAGCTAGGTTGTAGAGGGTTTAGAAGAGAATGATAGGAAGGTACATGCAAGCAAAAATTGTAAATAGCTTTTTCAAGGACTTTGCATGAGAAAAGGAGAACTATCAGAAAATAGCTAGTGGAATTGTAGGATTGAGTGAAAGTTTTACTTAAGGATAGAGGAGACATAAACATATTTGTGGGCAGCACACATCATAAGCAGGATTTAAAATTGGGTCTCCTAACTTCAAAGCCAGCGTACTTTGCGCTCTACTGTACTGCTCCATGAGGAAGACAGAAGACTAGACTGCTTGTATGAAATTGCACACTCCCCAACACACACATGCGCATGCACACACAACTGTCATTTTTAAATAAATGTTCTCCCCATATCACTGTGTGACCACTAGTTTAGAAAAACCATAATCTCTGAAGACTGAACTTAATGTAGAGATTCAGGAAGACAGCAACATTTTTTTCCAGTCATAATCTACCCATAGGAAGTGACATAAAGCATCTTATTGTGAAACTATCTCATCACAAAAAAGAAGTGAGCTACTCATATTGCAACAATAAGTGCCCATGAAATGGAGAAAGACCTAGAGGTGAATCCCCTGAGTGGTATCTATAGAAGACTATCAATAAGAAAAGCACAAGATGAGGAAGCATTGGGCTGCAATCTGCACCAGCGGAAAGAATGTCAATATCCTGGAGATCACAGAGCTATTAAAATAGTCTTCCATAAGTGAGGAAAACAAAATTTTGTTTCATTTGTACAGTAAACTTTCTTGAGCTTTTCAGTGAACATTACATTAACTCATTACACCATACTTAAGTATGAATTTCATCGTTATATGGTACTTAATATAAAATAATAGGATATCAATACTCTTGTCATATGAGCAGTGTCCCTTCATAAAGCTTGAAAAGTCAATTTTGGAACCTAACAGTTGGGAGAATGAATGCTTTTCATTAAAAATGCATGACTGTCTTTACAGTGGACTGAACATGCTCCAGGTAATCAGATGAAGCATTTCAAGCATAGTCTTAATCCCTCAGAAACAATGTATTACTTTAAATAGGAAAGAAATGCTTGTCTCTGATCTGTCTCTAAAATAGTATTTTTCTACAGATTGACCCATAAGGCCAGAATACAATAAGGCAAAAGCTCAAACCCACACCTTTTAGATGGTACCATGGCATATCAGTCAGCCTAAATATCTCATTCCATTATCTTCTTCCTTATTTCTTTTCAATTTAACAATTCAATTTAATTGAATCAGTATTAAATGCATAACATTGCTATTACTATTTTTTACTTAACAGTTCACATTTAAGATCATAGCTTTACCTTAAATGCTTGCAAAACTATCCATTCTATTTCAGTCATCTGACAAATGATTTCCCCTAATAAAAGCATTAATATAGAAAAAAAAAATAACCTCAAGAGCAACATAGATTTTTGGCTAATAGTGTTACTAACTAGGGCTTTTACTTAATTCAATTTAATTGATTCAACTCAACAAACATTTATTGAACAACTACTATGTTTAAGGCATGTTTACAAATAAATATATACTAGGGGATTGGCTAATTCAGGCCCAGTCCTTAGAGCATGTGCATATTTACCCCTTCCCTTCTTCAGAGCCATATCCCTTCCTACCTTATCCCCAAACTGAGTATTGATGAATCATAGCAAGCATGGTTGCCCTCCCTTCAGAGCTGCCTTAGTTGTTTTCCACATTCTTCAGAGCAGCCTTAGCCTTAGTCACAATACTTCGTCATGTGGCTGCCCTCATAAATCTCAAAGATTTTATCCGACTAGGATTCATCAGTCCTTTTCTGGTAGTGGTAGCTATTTTAGGTCAGATTAAATGCCTGTTTCCCAACAGAGAGATTGTCCTCTTGTCTCCCTGTGATTTGGCTCTGATAAATATTGCTAGTTACAATTTAGTAGAATACAAATTAGTGAGTTTGTACAGAATTTTGCGAAATGCAGTTGTTGGCTTTGATGCCAGGGAAAAGAGAGGCATATTAGTCCATTTGACTCCAGCTTTGATTAGCATGCTGTTTCAGTCATCCATGCCAGACTCTGCTCAGCAGTCTATTTTTGGCTTAACATTGATGAGACTGTGGTTGGGAGACAGAATAGGTCTGTATTACTAATATCTACCATCTCTATCTTTTACCAATACAGGAACCTAGTAGACAAGTTCTATATACATTAAAGGAGAGGAAACAGAAAGAACATAGACTTGGAGTCAGAAAACCTGGGTTCTAGTCTTGGGTCTTTCATCAATTAGCTATGTGACCCTGGGCGAGTCATTTTACTTCTGTGATCTTCAGTTTTCACATCGAAACAAATAAAGAGTTGGACCAGATCTGATATTATCTGATTTATAACTGGGACAAACCAGGCACGGTGGTACATGCCCGTGATCTCTACTTCTTGGGAAGCTGAGGTTGCTGGATCACTTGAACTCAGGACTTCTGAACTGCAGTGGGCTAAATGGTTATGGTGTCTGCGCTAAATCCAACATGGTAAACCCTTGGGAGCAGGGAGCCAACAGCTTGTTTAAGGAAGGGCAAACCAGCTCAGGATGGAAACAAAGTGGGTCAATGCTCCTTTGCCTGTTAGCAGTGGGATAGGGTCAGCTACTGCCTTTCTGGCCTCAGTGAGGTAAAGAGAGTTCCAACAACAACAACAAAACCCAAAAGTAGCACAGTGTGTGTGTGTGTGTGTGTGTGTGTGTGTGTGTGTGTGTGTGTGTGTGTGTGTGTTGGGGTGGATTCAACTTTCTGAAAGCTAGGCATTATTCCCTAACTTGCATCAGCAACTAATTTTTAAGTACATTTTCCAAGTACTTGTAATGTGATATGGTGGGGGGTAGAGGAAGCAGTGTTTCATTAATTGATATTATTTTTGAAACATGAATTATCATAGATTTCAAGCTAGAAGAGGCCTCAAATAATTTCATCCAGTGGTTCCCTAAGTGTGGTCCAGGCACTCCTGGGGGTTCCTGAGATCCTTTTAGGGGGTTCTTGAGGTCAAACCTAGTCAGAAGAATATTAAGTATTTAGAGGGATACTAAGATATTTTCATTTTTAATATAGTCAATATTGATAGATATAACCCACACAATCCACATCTCTTGGAGGAGGGTCCTCAATAATTTTTAAGAGTGTAAAGGAGTCCTGAAATCAAAAAGTTTGAGAACTATTGATCTAGTCTAAACTGCATTCTTTGCTTCATTTCTTATTAAGCCTTAATCACGTATCACTCAAACTGAGACCTGTTAAGGACTTAGCTTGAAAAGGCCAAGGATCCCCAGTGTATCCTGGGCCATCTCTAGTTGTCCTGATCTATATCTGGCCACTGGATGCAGATAGCACTGGAGGTGAAAGTGAGGCTGGTGACTTTGCACAGCCCTCCCTCACTTAAATCCAATTTGTTTGCATGTCATGGCATCACCTTCCTGGTGTCTTCGAGAATGAAGTACAAACAGCAACAGCAAACCAGCAAGTAGTCTAAACCTTTCATTTTTAAATGAGGAAATGAAAGCCTGGAGAATTTAAGTGGATTGTCTAAAGGTTACACAGTTAGTAAAAAAGCAGAGCTAAAATTTGAATAACTCCAAATAGGGAGGGAGGAGAGGAGAGAAGGAATTCAAGCTTACTAAAGGATGCAAAAATTTAATTCCATTCATATACACTTATTAAGTGCCTACTATGTGCAAGGCACTATGATAGGTGTTGGGCACACAAAGACAAAAACATAATAAATCTCAAGGAGCATATATTTTATTGGGGGGATGCAACACATATAGATGTAAGTAAATAGATAACAATTGGAGGAGAGAGAGAGAACATTGAACACCTGAAAGGACCGAGAAAGACTTCTTTGAAGGCTTTGTCTAGCTGGCTGTCTGTTCTGTTTCAAAATAACTTGGCTTCTGGAGATACAGCCTTTTCTGGTGAGAGATGTTCCACATAGCTAAGGCTCTGTGAAACAATAGTGCCTTTTTCTTTCTTTATTTCTTTTTTCCAAATGTATTTTCACATTAGTCATGCTGTGAAGAAGAATTAAAAACAATAGGAGGAACCACAAAAAAGAAGAAACAAAACAAAACAGAAGGAATAAAAGAGAAAACAGTATGCTTCCATCTGCATTCAGACTCTATAGTTCTTTCTTTGGATATGGATAGCATTTTCCATCATGAGTCTTGGAGCTGTCTTAGATCCTTGCATTGCTGAGAAGAGCTAAGTCTATCTAAGTTAGTCATCACACAATGTGGCTGTTACTGTATACAATGTTCTCCTGGTTTTCCTTACTTCGCTCAGCATCAGTCCATACAAGTCTCTCCAGGTTTTTCTGAAGTCTGCCTGCTCATCATTTCTTAAAGCACAATAGTATTCTATTACATTCATATACCACAACTTGTTCAGCCATTCCCCAATTGATGGGCATCCCCTCAATGTCCAATTCTTTGCCACCACAGAAAGAGCTGCTATAAATATTTTTGTACCTGTGGGTCTTTTTCCCATTTTTGTGATCTCTTTGGGATACAGCCCTAGAGCTATTGCTGGGTCAAAGGGTATGCACATTTTTAAAGTCTTTTGAGCATAGTTCCAAATTGTTCTCCAAAATGGTTGGATCATTTCCCAACTCCACCAACAATGCATTAGTGTTCTAATTTTTCCACATCTTCTCCAACATTTATCATTTTCCTGTTTTGTCATGTTAGCCAATCTGATAGATATGACTTAATACCTCAGAGTTGTTTTGATTTTCATTTCTCTTATCAATAGTGATTTAGAGCATTTTTTTATATGAGTATAAATCACTTTAATTTCTTCATCTGAAAACTGCTTGTTCATATCTTTTGACCATTTATCAATTGAGGAATGACTCATATTCTTATCAGAGACACTGGGTGTAAAAATTCTTTCCCAGTTTTCTGCTTCCCTTCTAATCTCAGTTGCATTGGCTTTGTTAGTGCAAAAACTCTTCAAATTAATGTGATTAAAATTATCCATTTTGCATTTCATAATGTTTTGTGTCATTTGCTCGATAGTGTCTCTTTCAAGGGAGAAGAACTTGAGGACTTTTCCCTAATCTGATCTTGGGTATGGAAAGGTCTTACTCCATCTTTAGAACAGTTGAAGCATAAGACTTTGGGTTCTAAACTAAAAGAGAGATGGCAGCGGCCACTCCTTTTCTTATGGGGGGAAGGGAGCACCCTAGCCAAGGATCCCAGAAATATTAGAAATATTAGAAAAAGTTCTATAACCATATGTCTAGGAAAGTGATATTTTATGATGACTATGGCAACAGCAGAGCATTGGCAAATATTGTTTGCCATACCCACATGCCTGGTAGGGACTGACTAGGAAAGCACTGATATTACCATCATGTATCAGCACTGATAACATTTGGAAGCATGAACTGCTAATTCATGAATATGTTCTTTTCACACATCTATTCTCTATCTAGAGGAGAAGTAGAAGGACTTTCTGTTTTCCTGCTGCCTCCATGGAGGGACTACACATATATCCGTCCGTGTGTGTTTCCTACATGTGACTACTCTTTTTATTGGTAGTGTATATGTTAGAGTTTTACGAAGAAAATATCCTATTGCTACATTTCTCATTATGCTTTCATTAAATGCCTTAAAATATTAATTGTGTCATCCGACTTATTGGCAAATATAAATACATTGGTGGGGGTTTTTGTGATAGGGTTTTGAGTGGCTGTGGACTCAGAATACTTTGAACCTGGGGTAGCTTATCTGGAGGTCTTAAATGTGACAAGGGAAGGTGACTTAGGTGCTGTATACATATATATATATATATATATATATATATATATACATACATACATACATACATACATACACACACACACACACACACACACACATACACAGAGAGAGACAGAGAGACAGAGAGAGCCATAAAAGAGCTCGATATGGCCCCTTTGATTTTTATTAGGGATTAGTCCACATAGGTAAAATATTTTGCTAATTTTTTCACTTTTGTGGGCTAAAGTACTGCCCAAAGGACACTGTGCTATTACATTTATAGCACAGGTATCCTAAGAGCTGCTTAGAATATAATTTTACTTCTCTAATATTTGTCTCAAACTGTATTCTTCATTTTCTATTATTATAATATGCTTTGTAATTTATTTTGAGTGTTTCTTTGGCATAAGTAGTTCTAGAGAAAGTGAAAGGGGAAGGATACTGCCTTTTCCAGTTACTGAGCAGAAAACTTCCTTCTTTCAAGTTATTTTATCAGACATGAGCAGTTTAGTTCTCCTTAAGTCACAACTGTGATTTAAGTCACAGAGGGGAAGAGTAGTGGTGGTGGAAATCTCTACTACATAATTTCTCATATGCAATGGCTACATTTGTGACACATGATAAACAGTCATAGAGTTAGAGAGTTTAAAGGAATCTCAGAGATCTTTTAATTCAATTCCCTTATTTTATAGATTTGTGGTGTCTAGGTGCCGCAATGGATAGAGCATTGGGGTTGGAGTCAAGAAGACTCATCTTCCTGAGTTCAAATCCAGCCTCAGACGCTTTAGTAGCTGTGTGACTGACTCTGGGCAAGTCACTTCACTCTATTTGCCTTAGTTTCCTCATTTGTAAAATGAGTTGGAGAAAGAACTAGCAAACCACTAAAGTATCTTTGCCAAGAAAACGAAGGGTTGGGCAATGATGGAAACAACTAAATAGCAACAATTGTCTGGTGAAATAAAGTAATTTGTCCACAGTATGTTAGTGGCAGAGGTAAGACTAAAAATTCAAATAGCCTCTGTGTTTTTACTATGTGTAATTTAATTTATTAAAAGACATAGGGACTACACTTGTTATTTCATAGATATAGAAAACTCCTGTATAAGGAAATTCTCCTTGCCAATTGAGGATAGCATCTTCTTTGCAAATTAACATTTTAGATCAAGGGTTGGTAACCTACTGTCCATGAATTAAAAAAAAAGTCTGATGCTGTATTTCAATAGAATTAATTTCTTTTATACTCTTTTTATGTTTATTTTAGGCATTTAAAAACATTCTTCTAAGAAGGAGTCCATAAACTTGCCCAGATTACCAAAAAGGGATAAGAAGCCTTATCTTAGAGAGCTGGCCAGAGTACTGCGAGGTGAGTTACTAACCCGGGGTGACTTAAGTAGGATCCCTTGCCAGTGCATGTCAGAGTTGGGACTTAAACTTAGGTCTTCCTGGCTCAAATGCCACTTGTCCATCTGCTACTTCTGTACCTTTTTCATGCAAACTTAAAAAAAAATCAGCTTTTCAGATAAGTAAAATCACGGACTTATAGAAGGTCAGAAATGGAAAGGGACATTAGAGATAGTCTGGTTTAACCCCTTCATTTTATTCATGCAGTAGCTAAGATTGAAGGGGGTTATGAAAGTTACCCAAGGCCACATAGCTGGTAAGTGGCAGATTTCCTTCAAGTCCCAGATTACATTCTACCTTCTACCTTCTACAGAAAGCCTTGCCCAATCTCTCTTAATTCTAGCACCATCCCTCTCTTGTTTCCTTTTTATCTTGTATATTGCTTGTTTGTACATGGTTGTTTGCATATTTTCTCCCAAATTAAATGGTGATCTCTTTGAGGACAGGGACTGTCTTGCCTTTTTAACAAATGTTTATTGACTGACCTGGAACTCAAACCTAGGTCTTTTTTTTTTCTTCTTCAAATCTCAGCTTTCTCTTTCTTCCACTCGCAAAGAGTGCCACACATAATTGTAGATAAAGGGATTAGCTAAAGTATTTGTTATGCACTTACTACTTCTGAGCACTGTGCTAACTGCTAAGGATACAGAAACAAGAAAACAAGATTGGGCCTACTCTTGAGGAGTTTATAATACATAAAGAAGCAGTGGGAAAGTGGCAGGGGTGTGCTGAAGCCACTTCTAAGGGATTGGGAGACCCTGTTAAATTTTTGGTGTGAGCTCCTCAGAAATTGCAGTTGCCTACAAGTCAGACTTGATTTATTATCTTGTTTTCTAGACTTAAGAAAGTGTTAATAATGTAGACTAAATTTGAAAGTATATGCATACTTTTTTTCCCTCTAAGAGATCAGTTGGCAAACATTTACCAGCACATTTTTATATTACTCTATAAACATTGCTTGAGCTCAGTGGAGGTGATCAAGGCTCAGAGAATGAAGTCATCACCAGACTGGAGCCTTATATATAATACTGCTACTCCTACTCCTACTGCTGATATTTATATAGCACTTTTTTGTTGTTGTTCACTTCTTTTCAGTCATGTCCAACTCTTCATGATCCCCTTTAGGGTTTTCTTGGCAAAGATACTGGAGTGGCTTGCCATTTTCTTCTCCAGCTCATTTTACAGATGAGGAAACTGAGGCAAACAGGGTTAAGTGACTTGCCCAGAGTCACACAGCTAGGAAGTGCCTGAAGTTGGATTTGAACTCAGGAAGATGAGTCTTCCTGACTCCAGGCCTGGCAGTCTATCCAATGAGCATTTAAAGGTTTGCAGAGTATTTTATACTCATTGAGCTTCACAATACCCCTGGGGAAGAGAGTGTCTTCACTGGGGCAAGGGTGAAGGAAAGTGAACAGAGTAGCTGAGACATCTTTTTTTAAAAAATCAATCTATTTGAAACTTAAATACACAATAAGAAAAGAAAAAGAAACATTATAAACTTAAATACAAAATAAGAAAAAAAAGCATTGCCATGTGCACAGCAGAACATGAGAGGATTCAAAATATACAGCAATAAATTTCCATTTCAAGAAAGCCTATATAATAAATACTACTCATTGTGTTCAGAGCTGTCCATCTTTGCTTCCTTGTAAGTTTTCTTTTGTTCTCTGCTGTGCACTTTTTACTTTGTTCTTTTTTCCTTCCTTCCTCCCCCCTTCCTCCCCCAAGAAGGTACAATTAAAGATGGACATGTACATACATATATATATGCATGTGAACACGCATACATATATATATGTAATATAAATATATACACGTACAAACACTTATATACACCTATACAAAGACATATACATGTATATAGACAT